CCTCAAAGTAGAGTTGACCTTACTGATGTGGATGGGATAAAGCTTTTGGACCTTCATTTGCTGAGACGGCACGTCTCAAAATGAGAAGAAACAGCTGCAAATATCCGTTAATAATCTGAACATGGAGTGTACAAAGTATGGATCTAGGAAAACTGGAAGTCGTCAAAAATGAAATGGACCTCATAAAAATAGATATCCTAGGTGTTAGTGAGCTGAAATGGACTGGTATGGCCATTTTGAATTGGACAATCATATGGTCTACTACGTCAGGAATGACAAATTGAAGAGGAATGACATCACAATCATCATCAAAAAGGACGTTTCAAGGTCTACCCTGAAGTATAATGCTGTCCGTGATAGGATAATATCCATATGCCTACAAGGAAGACCAGTTAATGTGACTATTATTCAAATTTACTCACCAACTACTAATGCCAAAGATGAGGAAATTGAAGCTTTTTACCAACTTCTGCAGTCTGAATTGATCAAACATGCAATCAGGATGCACTGATAATTACTGGTGATTGCAATACTAAAGTTGGACACAAAGAAGGATAGGTAGTTAGAAAATATGGCCTTGGAGATAGAAACGACACTGGAGATCTCATGATAGAATTTTGCAACACCAACGACTTCTTCATTACAAACACCTTTTTTTCAACAACATAAATGGCAACTATACACATGGACCCCTCCAGATGGAATACACAGGAATCAAATTGACTACATCTGTGAAAAGATACGATGGAGAAGCTCAATATCATCAGTCAGAAGAAGGCCAGGGGCTGACTGCAGCACAGACCATCAATTGCTCATATGCAAGTTCAAGTTGAAGTTGAAGAAAATTAAAGCAAGTTCACAAGAACCAAAATATGACCTTGAGTATATGCCACCTGAATTTAGAGACCATCTCAAGAGTAAATTTGATGCATTGAACACTAATGACCGAAGATCACACGAGTAGTGGAATGACATCAAGGGCATCATACATGAAGAAAGTAAAAGGTCATTGAAAAGACAGAAGAGAAAGAAAAGACCAAAATGAATGTCGGAAGAGACTCTGAAACTTGCTCTTGAACGTCGAGTAGCTAAAGCAAATGGAAGAAATAATGAAATAAAAGCTGAACAGAAGATTTCAAAGGGCAGCTTGTGAAGACAAAGTAGAGTATCATAATGAAATGTGCAAAGACCTGGAGTTAGAAAACCAAAAGGGAAGAACATACTTAGCATTTCTCAAGCTGAAAGAACTGAAGAAAAAATTCAAGCCTCAAGTGGCGATATTGAAGGATTCTATAGACAACATAGTGAATGACGCAGGAAGCATCAAAAGAAGATGGAAGGAATACACAGAGTCACCGTACCAAAAATAATTGGTCAATGTTCAACCATTTCAGGAGGTAGCGTATGGTCAAGAATTGATGGTATTGAAAGAAGAAGTCCAAGCTGCACTGAAGGGAATGGCAAAAAACAAGCCTCCAGGAATACGAATAGAGATGTTTCAACAAATGGATGCATCACTGGAGGTGTTCACTTGTCTTTGTCAAGAAATTTGGCCAGCTTCCTGGTCAATTGACTGGAAGAGATCCATATTTGTGCCCATTCCAAAGAAAGGTGATCCAACAGAATGAGGAAATTATCGAACAATAACATTAATATTATATACAAGTAAAATTTTGCTGAAGATCATTCAAAAGCAATTGCAGCAGTACATTGACAAGGAACTGCCAGAAGTTCAAGCTGGGTTCAGAAGAGGACGTGGAATGAGGAATATCATTGCTGATATCAGACGGATCTTGGCTGAAAGCAAAGAATACCAGAAAGATGTCTACCTGTGTTTTATCGATTATGGAAAGACATTCGACTGTGTGGATCATAACAAATTATGGATAACTTTGGAAAGAATGGGAATTCCAGAACACTTAATTGTGCTCATAGACATAGACCAAAAGGCAGTCCTTCAAACAGAACAAGGGGATACTGCATGGTTTAAAGTCAGGAAAGGCATGTGTCAGGGTTGTATCCTTTCACTATACATATTATATCTGTATTCTGAGCAAATAATTCAAGAAGTTGGACTACATGAAGAAGAACAGGGCATCAGAATTGGAGGAAGACTCATTAACAACCTGCAGTATGCAGACGACACAACCTTGCTTGTTGAATTTGAAGAGGACTTAAAGCACTTACTGATGAACATCAAAGACCACAGCCTTCAGTATGGATTACACCTCATCATAAAGAAAACAAAAATCCTCACAACCGGACCAATAAGCAACATCACGATAAATGGAGAAAAGATTGAAGTTGTCAAGGATTTCATTTGACTTGGATCCACAATCAATGCCCATGGAAGCAGCAGTCAGCAAACCAAATGACTTATTCATTGGGCAAATCTGCTGCAAAAGGCCTCTTTAAAGTGTTAAAAAGCACAAATGTTACTAAGGTGTTCTTGACCTAAGCCAGGCTATTTTCAATCTACCTCATATGCATGCAAAAGCTGGACAATGAACAACAATTGATGCCTTTGAATTATGGTGTTGGTGAAGAATGTTGAATATACCATTGACCGCCAGAAGAACGAACAAATCTGTCTTGGAAGAAGTACAGCCAGAATGCTCCTTAGAAGCAAGGATGGCCAGACTTTGTCTCACGTTCTTTGGACATGTTATCAGCAGGGACCAGTCCCTGGAGAAGGACATCATGCTTGGTAAAGTAGAGGGTCAGTGAAAAAGAAGAAGACCCTCAATGACATGGATTGACACAGTGGCTGCAACAGTGGGTTCAAGCATAACGATTGTGAGAATGGTGCAGGACCAGGCAATGCTTTGTTCTGTTGTGCATAGGGTCATTATGAGTTGGGACCAACTTGATGGCACCTAACAACAAGCACAACAGATTGTATGTAAGGAGTCCTGGTGGCGTGGTGGTTAAGCACTGGGCTGCCAACCAAAAAGTAGGTGGTGTGAACCCACCAGCCTTTCCGAGGGAGAAAGATGTGGCAGTCTGCTTCTATAAAGATTACTGCTTTGGAGACCCTATAGGGCAGTTCTATTCTGTCCTATAGTGTTGCAATGAGTCAGAATAGACTTGATGGCGACCGCTTTGTTTGATTTTTTGAGACTCTATGTACACTGTGTTTACCTGTCCCTCATTGATGGGCATTTAAAACAATTTATTTTGACATAATTTCTGACTTTCTGTTGCAAGTAGAGTACAAAGAATTCCTGTATGCCCTTCACCCAGATTCCACAACATTTTATCATATTTGCTTTATTCTTCTCTCTAAATATACATATTCATATTATTTTACATTTCATGCAGACATGATGATACATAATTTATCATTCAAGGACATTCTCTTATATAACCACAGCACACTTAACAAAATCATGAAGCTAATACTGATAAAGTACTATTAACTAATCTACACACCTTATCCAGATTTCACCAATTGTCCCAATAATGTCAGCAAAAGAAAATCCTGGATCACAAGATGCGTTTGGTTGTTCTGTCTCAGCATTGTTGTTGTTGCTAGCTGCCGTTGAGTAGGCCCAGACTCATGAAAACACAAGCACAATGGGATTGGACCGTTGTGATCCATAGTGTTTTCCCTGGCTGATTTTTTAGAAGATCACCAGGTCTTTCTTCCTAGTCTTTCTGAGCCTGAAAGCTTCTGAACACAGCGTCATAGTAACTGGTAAGCCTTGCTGACAGATGAATGTTGGCTGTGCTCAAGGTTCATTGGCTTGTAATTGAATCTGGATCTCTCACATGGAGTGGGAGAATTCTACCACTGAATCACTGCTGCCCCCATCTGCATGTCTCCCTATTGTTGTTAGGTCCCTATCTTAGTCGCATAGTGCTGCTATAACAGAAATACCACAAGTGGATGGCTTTAACAAAGAGAAATTTATTTCCTCACAGTATGTAGGCTAGAAGTCCAAGTTCAAGGCATCAGCTCCAGGAGAGAAGGCTTTCTCTCCCTGTCAGCTCTGGAGGAAGGTCCTTCTCATCAATCTTCCCTTGGACTAGGAGCTTCTCTGCACAGGAACCCCGGGTCCAAAGGATGTGCTCTGCTCCTGGCACTGCTTTCTTGATGGTATGAGGTCCCCAACTCTCTGTTTGCTTCCCTTTCCTTCCATCTCTTGTAAGGTAAAAGGTGGTGCAGGTCACACCCCAGGGAAACTCCCTTTACATTGGATCTGGGATGTGACCTGAGCAAGGGTGTTATATCCCACCATAATCTTCTTTAACTACAGGCAGAAATTATGATTTATAACACGTAGGAAAATCACAGAATGGAGGACAACCACACAATACTGGGAATCATGTCCTAACGAACTTGACACATATTTTGGTGGGGGGGGGGTACAATTCAATCCATGACTATCCCATTGAATCACTTCTGACTCATAGTGACCCTAGGTACAGCAGAATGAAATGTTGCCTGGTCCTGTGCCATCCTCACAATCTTTGCTATGTCTGAGCCCATTGTTGCAGCCACTGTGTTTATCCATCTCATTGAGGGTCTTCCTCTTTTTCGATGACCCTCTACCCTAGTCTCCTTTAATCTGGACAGTTCCTCATTCCTTCTTTCTTTTTCATGACACAGACATTTTTTGAAAAAGCAGATGTCAGTTATTTTGTCGAATGTCTTTCAATTTGTCTGGTATCATGATCACATTCAGGTTTTACATTTTTGCACTGATCGAAGGACACTTTACTGCTCTGAGCAATCCTTTTCCATATGACTCCTAGAGTGCAAGTTTGAAGTAATGCGGGAACTTCATCTCCTCGCCATTAAGGAAACCGAGAGTACAACCTGACCTCACTAAATCGAGATTATCACTGTCCTGCCCCCGAGATAGTTTAGTTCAGGTGAAAACTTTATTTTGGGTTGTGCGCCACAAACTACCGAGGCAGCCCTACCCCGCAGAAACTACATTTCCCACAGGTCTTCAAGGCATCTACGTCATCAACGAGCGCGGTTTTTTGCTGGCATAGCAGGCTTGGGGAAGCCAGCTGTGGCGGCGGCATCATGGCGGAGGTGATAAGTGTCGGAGTGAACCTGGAGGCCTTTGCCCAGGCGATTAGTGCTATCCAGGCACTGCGCTCCAGCGTGAGCAGGGTGTTCGACTGCCTGAAAGATGGCATGCGGAACAAGGAGACGCTGGAGGGTCGGGAGAAGGCCTTCATTGCGCACTTCCAGGACAACTTGCATTCGGTCAACCGGGATCTCAAGTAGGTACCGGCTGAGGGGGCTGGAGTGGGGAACCAGCCCTATTTGGACCTCGCGCGTCTTCCTAGTTAGGGGCTGTTCTCCCTTTCCCTTGTTCCCCGTTCTCTTTTCGTCCTCTCTTAACCTCTCTCTGCCCCTCAGGGCCACCTCGTTCCGCACCCCCGCTTTCTCGTCTCCCTTCTCTTGGCCTGCTAGTTCTGGCTGTCTCCCGCCTCCTGGACCCCTTCTTTGGTCGTCCCATTCCTCACGAGGAGGCATACTGTTGCTATGAAGTTCCACTTCTCATTTAGCCTGGCAAAATTTTCACCTGTGGGCCCTGTGTGTCCCACCATGCCTGATCAAACAGTACTGATAGGACCAAACAGGACCTGACCAGTGTGGGACCAGGTCACTCACTAAAGTGAACCGATCTGGGTCCCAATTCTCCGCCCTTAAACCTGGAATTAATTAGTTCTATCCCTACCCTTCCAAACGACAAATCAGATCTTGATCTGTCTTTCCCTCTTACCTTATCCTCTCCCATATGACCTGACCTGTACTCTCTCACTTCCAGCTGTTCCAGATCAGCTCCTTTTCGATAGAGTTAATCTCAAGCTTAACCAGCTTAATCACTTGTGCGTAACTCCCTCTCCCCCACCCCCCAATGAATTTGTGGTCCTTTAGAGTTAAGGATTGTACATTTCCTCCTCTTTTACAGCTCACCTTCTTCTACTTTATAGTGTTGCTGTAAGGATTAAATGATAGGATGTTCGTAAAATGCCTAGCACATGGTAAAACAAACAAACAAACACCAAACCTGTTGCCTTGGAGTCAGTTCGACTCAGTGACCCCTATAGGACAGGGTAGAACAGCCCCATAGTTTCCAAGGAGTGCCTGGTGGATTTGAACTGCCAACCTTTTGGTTAGCAGTGGTAGCACTTAACTACTATGCCACCAGGGTTTCCAGCACATAGTAGACACTCTGTAATTGGGTAGGTCCTGAACTTGCCTTCCCTTCCTTAAGAGAGTCAGTCCTTCCCATGGAGTCTAGAATTCCAGGATTTTTTTCCTTTAGTTATCAGAACTGACCTTAGCAGAGGAAGGCATTTGGTGAGCTGGTTATCCTATGATTTCTGGACTGGCTGGATTTTTTCCCCCCTCAACTTGGTCTCCTTAGTAACCAGATGGAAGAAGGAGGTAGGATGGAGGAGGTGGTGGTGGCCAAATGATGAGTGCCTCTTTTTGCTTTTTTCCCTAAGTAGTTGCCATTCTTTTTGGAGGAAAGCCAGGAAATCACACACCCCCTCCTCAACTCCCACATCCACTTGCTGTTCTCTGGCACAGTGCCAGTTAATACTTTCCCTGCTGGAGGAAATGCACCGGTTGCTCTTTCTTCTCTTCCATTTCCACTTTCTTTCCGATTTTCTTCCCTTTGTAATGTCCAGGATGTTAGTAGAACACTTCACATCTTAGAAAGTTTACGATGTTTACCTTGCCCCCTTTGCCTTCTTAAATCTTTGTACAGTAGGACCAAGAGAAAGGTGGCCGAAGATTCCAAAATGAATGTGATATGAGAGGCTGTTCGTAGGGAGACTTCTCTTGTTGGTAGTTTGGGACTGGCCCCTCGAAACGTGCTCCTGGAATGTGTTTTTGCTGTTGGCTCCCTTTTCCAAGCTTTGCTAGAATTTTCCTGTTAGACTGAAGTGTGTTTGTTTGACGCAGCCTCCTCCATGGTGTCTTCTCATTCCATTTGTTTATTTTATCTCTTTTTTGTTTTGTTAAGTTTTACCATCTGTGAAGCATCATGTACAAATCTATCCCTATGTGAATGATAAATAATCATCATTCAGGTACTTGCTGTTCTGCCAAATGTAATATGCACGTGGGTCTGAAAACCATTAGTGAGAAGTAGTGTTATGCCACACTTTAAAATTCCAGTAAGTCCCCTTTCCCCTCAGAGAATAATTAGAGTTGTTAAATCCTGAATTTAGGAGCCATTTTATGGTTTCCAGTGCTCTTAACTTTTTTCTCCTTTGAAAAGACACCAGGAAGCTCTGTTTTAAATTAAGACAAGCTCCCAATTAGGGGTTTTCTTGATTGGCCTGAATCTGTTTAACTTTTCAAAAAGTATTTCTTTTGAAGAGACTTCTGATGGACAACTTAAAGAGCAGTCTTTGACAGTGATGGTTGGCTTTACTTTGGAATTCAGTGGATTCAGGCTTGTTTTCTGTTTACTTTTCAGTGAGCTGGAACGTCTGAGCAATTTGGTAGGCAAGCCATCTGAGAACCATCCTCTCCATAACAGCGGACTTTTAAGCCTGGATCCTGTGCAGGACAAAACTCCTCTCTATAGTCAACTCCTTCAAGCGTATAAATGGTCAAACAAGGTAAGAGAGACGTATTACGAAGGAAGCTAACTTTAAGAAAAACCAAGTTTTCTCATATCCTAAGTTGTAGAATGTGAGGGTAAGTTTTTTTTTCTTTGTTTTTGATTCAGCATAGGGTTGTAGGGTTGGAAGTTTTAGAATTTCCCTAGAAGCTATTTTGTAGTATTTTGAAGTCTTTGAGGATTAATAATGATGCATAGGTAATTAAAATTTTTTTAAATTCTAAGTTGGGTTTTTAACCTAGGGATTTCGTGTTGGGAGCAGTGTTTATGAACCCCTGACATTTATGCAAAATGTTATGGTATGTGCATTTTCTCTAGGGGAAGGGTTTGTAGCTTTTATCAACTTCTCATAGGAGCCCATGACCCTCTTAAGGACTGGTGGTCTAAATGTTTAGCCAGTCCCATTGTTAATGTTGTGTGTATTATGTTTTCCCCTGTCCTTGATAGAAGAACATCACTAGAATATTGCTTGTTGGATTACTCTTTAATTACTGTCTAATTACTTTAGATACCATCTGAGGGAGATTCTTAACACGTTTCATAGAATTGGATATTCATGTTTCATTCAGCAGGCAGGCCTGTGGCATAGACCCTAGGAGAGCTGTAAAAGAAAAACTAAACTGTAGTCCAGAAATAACAGGAACAATTAGGCTCATAAGCCTGGAAACAGTGTATTTATTTATTGATAAGTTCCTTTTGTTTGGGTGCTGTGGGTTGTTATTGTTATGTGTGTGTGCTTTCTTTTTTATTGATTGGGGAACCAGAATATAAGCCTGGGAGGATTTTGGAAGCTTTTCTCATTACATTGTGCTACCTTCCTGGAGATATTTATTTTTACAATTATTGGTTGTGAACTGCTTTGCCCTCTCCAGCTAGCCATCATCTTTTCCCTCTTTCCAGTGGGCCTTTCCGCCTTAGATCTTGGATGATGGGTGAGCCTTGACAGTCTTCCTGGTGTGCACAATTTCTTCTTTGAATTTCTCTATGGGAGTATTTTAGTTTTCTTTGCTTTAAAGTGAGATTTAGGGAGAAGATGATTTACCATGGAGCACTGAAGAAAGAACTTGAACCTCATATGCATACATTCAGCTTATACACCGTTTCTTCCAAACTGTGGACTGCTGGTGGCAAACCCAGTTCAATCTAGGTTATGTGAAAAAAGAGAGGGAAGCAGGGAGAGAGAGAAAGAAAGAGAGAAAGAGGACTTCACTGGTTCAAAAAACTAAAACATTTAGGGAATTTCTAGTATGAAGCTCAGCTCATGAGGATCAGGTTACTCAGATGGGTGGCAGTAACCTGTCTCTCTCTTGCCACCTCCAGACCTGCTTTCTTCTGTGTTGGCCTGAGGCTCTCCAAGTAGTGGAAAAGATAGCCCGGGCAACTATAGGCTTGTATGATCCTTAAACCTGGTGATCTCTAGTGTCCACATTAGGCCCTGAAAAAGGATTCTGGCCCTGCTTGGTAGGTGGCCCCAAGATGGTGCATTGAATCCAGGGGAAGGGATTCTCTCATTGGCCAGCTCTGATCACCTGAGGCATGAGAAGGCGGGGCTCCTTGAAGCTGGAGAGAAGCAGGTCCCAAAACAACAGGATGCAGGGTAGACTAAAAAATTATAGATGTCTGTTGCAGTTGCCAAGGCTAGATGTGGGATTGTCCTAGCCATACACAGACAACACTCCTCTCTTAGGCTGTCCTGCTTGAATTGAAGTTCCTTGTTTTCTCAGGGATGCTCTTGGTCATTTTAACCTCATTGTACTGGGTGGTTGGGTGGGATCTGATCAGTAGGTGTGTGGTGTGACTTATTTCTTATAGAAAGTTTTGCTTTTTGGAGAAGAAAGTTGTGTTGATGTATCATGTGGGTGAAGTTGTTCTTGGAATAGGCTAGACTGACAGACTTTTCAGTAGCGGGAAGATTTAGATTGATCTTGAAACCATGAGTGACTGTTTACATTGAAGTGATGACACTTACGTTTTGAGGGAAGGTGGTTTTAATTCTTTGCCAAATTATGGATTATTAAAATAGAAGCCCCTGCTTCTGACCCCCACATCAGCTTCAAGGTGGAAAAGAGGTTGTATTAAGGAAAAGAAATGTATGTGGAACTTCTTGCCCTTGGAGATTACAGATTAAAAATATACATAGAAATTTATCCTAGATGATAAATCCCAAATGGCGATGTGAGGGAATCTTGAGACTTTAAGCATGTCTTTGGCCTGGTGAAGTTAAGCATGTGTATGTAAAGGGTTCTTTCATCAGCTCCCTGATACTATCAGCAGAGAGGGGATTTGGGGCTGCTTGTAGCATTCATCAATAGAGCTAAAGAAAATGGTTAAGAGATCCATTTATTCAACCTCTTGTTTTAGAACCAAGCAAACTGAGGCCTAGTGAATTGACCTGTTCAAGAGTCTCCAGCTAGACTAAAATTTGGATTTTCACACTTAGCTCACTGTTATTTCCTCTGAAACTTGATGGCTTAGTCCAATTTTGCTTAAGGTTTTCGACTATAGAAAACATTTTTCCCCCCTTTAACTTGAATCCTAGAAATAGTTCATATATTTTATTCATGAATCTCTACACATTTTACTAATTTTTAATGGTTTATTGAAGGACGGGATGGCAAATACATGGTACGTGGGTCCTCAAACTATTGCTCTTGTCCAGGGCAGACATCACTAATTAACCATGGTACTCTTTTCTGCTGAGGCCATGTGTGGGCTTATATTCCTCTTAACTCTTTGTTCTGGGATTAGGCAGCCACTGCCAGTTCAAAGGAGGTAAAAGGTGTATTTTACTTCTGTTACAGTAAATCATGTCCTATTTAACTATTATTTATTTGTACCTTACCTGGTGGCACAGTGGTTAAGCATTAAGGCTGCTAATCAAGAGGTCAGCAATTCGAATTCACCAGCTGCTCCTTGGGAAACCCTATGGGGGCCAGTTCTATTCTGTTCTGTATGATTGCAATGAGTCAGAATCGACTTGATGGCAAAGGGTTTGGTTTGGTTTTTACTCTAGAAAGGATTTAGGGTGTATTATAGAAATACATGGAAACCCTGGTGGCATAGTGGTTAAGAGCTACGGCTGCTAACTAAAAGGTTGGCAGTTCGAATCCACCAGGCGCTCCTTGGAAACTCTATGGGGCAGTTCTACTCTGCCCTGTAGGGTCGCTGTGAGTTGCAGTCGACACTATGGCAATGGTTTTGTTTTTTGTTTTTTTTTTTGGGTATAGAACTACATAAAACTCAGGAAGATAAGTAGAAGTGGAAGAGGAAAACAAGGGTAAGGGTGCTTTATGTATGTTTATTTAATAAACCCCCAAAAATAGCCCCAAGAAATAAGCCAGTATTCTAATATACAGCTGGGGACATGGAAGAAGCAAATAATTATATATGTTTATCTTTCCTCTCCTACAAATGAAAAGAGCCTTTTAATTGCTAAAGCTTTCATCATTCATCTTTTTACCTTCAAAGAGTTTAAACCAGTAAGTGCTTTTGTATATTAAGTGAAGTTTGTGGTAAGTTGCCTATGTCAGCTTTACACGTTGTTGGCTAAGAATTGTAGGAAGTATGGGAAAGGCTTTGATACCACCCATTATGTGATGAACTTTCTGTTTTACGTACTATTGGCCATAGAAAAGTCTTGTTCATGCTGAATGACTAATTTTCTTTAGGGGGTTTTGTAATTTTTGTAAAGTCAGTTGGATTATTAATTACATGATAGTTGGCATAATTGTTAGAATAACACACTTAAAAATTAATCTAATGAAATGATGTCAGATTGCTGTGAGCAGCACTTTTTCTGTGCTGAATTGGAGAAAGAATTCAGCTTTTAAGTATTATGCACCTAGAGATAATTGTTCTGTAGAAGGATGACAGACTCTCTTGACTAGGGCAAAAAATAATTGGCATCAGTGCTGTCTGTCTTTGCTGTAAAATAGACAATGTAGACCTTAGATTGGTTTATTATGTTCAGATACACTGAAAGTTAGACTGAACTTATTTTTTTATTGTGCTTTAGGTGAAACTTTACAAAGCAAGTTAGTTTCTCATTCAACAATTTATACACAAATTGTTTTGTGACATTGGTTGCAATCCCCGTGATACGTCAATACTTTCTCCTTCCCTGTCTCCATCTGTCCATTTTTCTGTCCCTTCCTGCCTTCTCCTTAGTACTTTTGGACAGATGTTGCCCTTTTGGTCTCATATACATGATTGAACTAAGAAGCACGATCCTCACATGTGTTATTATTATTATTATTTTTTTTTATGAAACTAGTGTCTAATCTTTGGTTGAAGGGTGAACTTCGGGAGTGGCTTCAGTTCTGAGTTAAAAGGGTGTCTGGAAGCCATAGTCTCAGGCTAGACTGAATTTATTCTGAAGGTTTCCAACTTGGTATCATTTGGCTTTTATTTCTGACTGATTTTTTGTCATTTGTTTATGGCAAATGTTACTTGTGTATTTACCTGGAAAAGTAGACTTTGACTTCTCTCTGGTGGCATCTGTAACAGCAAAGATCCCAGAGATGTCACTTTCTCCTGGGGTTAGGAAGTGGGCCTGTAGGAAGGTGCTGCTGCTGCTGTTTTTTACATGCTTAATTTTTCATTTTTATAAAAGAAAGAGCAACTTTCTATCCCAAGAATATTCGGTTAGAAAGTCTGAAGACATTTCCTCAGTTCTACCCTCCTGAATTATTCCATCAGAATCTAATTATTTAATAGCTTTGTTACTGTGACATTCATATCTCTCAAATGCATCCTTAAAGGTGCTCTTTATGTTTTTGTTATGGAGCTAACAGGGTTGGGATTGTTTTAAATTGAAACATTGAGCCTTTTCCTTTAGGGACCTTCTGCTCTTTGGAAGGAAGTCTAGATTATAGCTATGTATAGACACTCAACCATAGGCCCCAAAGGAGAGGTAATATGCCTATCTTTGTTCCCTGCTGAGAGTCCCCAGCACCTAGCAGGATGCCTGTACACAGTGTTCAATTAAAATTCATTGAA